CTTATGCAGATTACAGGCAATTGTCAGCTTTTCGGGGTGCAGGATATTACAGTGAGTTGTAGCGATTAGAGCGGTCAGACTAGGAACTGGGAGATGCAGATCTGAATTCCCTTTCTGCCACGGAAGTTCTACTGAGTGACCTTAGGCCAGTCACTCTTTCTCATCCTAAACTAACTCACAGGATTGTTGTGAGGATAATATTGAGGGGCAATTGACATTGTAGGCTGTTTTGGATCCCCATTGGGGAGAAAAGCGGGGTTTAGGTTAAAAAAAAACCAGTGTCCCAATAGACATCTCATATGGGAGGAAGCAGTGCAGTCAGTATTCATGTGCCAATAAAGATGTAAAAGAACTCTGTGAGAAGGATGATAGCGCTACACAGCCCCACTTGGAGAAACAGCAAGAAATAAGTCTGTTGATTCATGTTTTCTAAGCTAAAGTGTTGTGTTTTTCCCCAGTCTGAGCCAGAGGGATTCTCTCATTTCCATTTATATGTTTGTGCTGCATTCTTGATTAAGTGGCGGAAAGAGATCTTGGATGAAGAGGACTTCCAGGTAAATCTTCGGAAAGTAGCTACCTTTAGCAAAGGATGCAACATAATTATGTTGCCCTGAGGCATTTCTCTACTTAAGGCAGGACTGCAGGCAGCAACAGGAGCAGCAGTACCTCTGGCATGTGATGAGGCACATGCGATGACTATATCTAGGGGTCCAGGCACATGCTGCCTCTTGAGCCAGTCATCAACTATCAATTATTTATTAAACATCTATCCCTCATGGAACTCATGGTGGCACAGGTGGGGTTTGCATGAGCGGTTCCCTCTAGGCATTGACCAAGGCCAGCATCTAGCTTCAATGCTGTGTCATATGCCCCCAGGCAGCACCCTGTATTCCAGATCTTTGGTTCTGACTCCAATGTTCCCTGCGTTATCTGAATGCTTTTAGTAGATATCCAGGCCAGGCTTCCCCACCTGTCAGGCAGGGTCTCTACCATCCCATTTCCCGAAAAGTCATAAGCTTAAGCTAGCTACTTTTATTATTTATCTGTTTGTTAGAGTATTGTGCCCTACCTTTCTATCAAACCCAGCGTTCCAAAATGTTTTATTACTCTTGTTATCCAGTCTGTTTATGATGAATCAGTGACTGCAGTTTCAGTCAGCTGAAGTAAGACCCCTCCCCCCACCATCGAGCTGTGGCCATCTGAACACCTGAGGCCATAAGAGATGAAAAGGGAGTTTTGTTTGTCTAATACTAGAAATTTCTCTCACTGCTTCCTTTGTAACACACCCCTTTCTCCACCTCAGGGCCTTCTAATGTTGCTACAAAACTTACCTACGATACACTGGGGCAATGAAGAGATTGGACTCCTCCTTGCTGAAGCCTACAGACTCAAGTACATGTTTGCAGATGCCCCCAATCACTACCGCCGATAGGTGCCAGGGATCTGCCTCTACATCCCAACGTGCTGGCCCAATCCCGATCACTGTGGCATTTCATCACCCTTGTTCTCGGACACTCCAAATAGGACCCACTCTTTGCTGTAAAAAGCTCACATCAGACTTCTGTCTTAACTTCTGTGTGTGCCTGCTTGCCACTCCATGTGTGGATGTGCCACTCAAAGAACCATTGGTGTCCCATCCTGTGATGGTGGCCTGAGCTTGGCTGGTGGCTGTGGGTCATCTAAGCCTTGGAGCCTCATGTTAACCAGTCTAAGCACAGACACACTTGCGTACTCCCAGCTGGGTCTGTGTTTTCCTCCAGATGCTGTTCAATCAAACTCCCTAATGAAGATGCCTTATAAAGAGTCCTGCCCAGGGGATGGCAGTGCCGTTGGACACAAGAAGCTCTCAGGGCTTAGCTTCACTCTGTGTGTCTGAAGTGCAACATTTCAGTGGTCAACACGAAAGAGACGTGCTCTCCTCTCTCATACATGCATACTGTCTTGCCGCATGTCTCTCTGCGTAGGGTGGTGCGCACATGTTGAAAAGGCTGTCTTGTCCACACACAGTTCAAAATGACACAACTGAATAAGACAGGACTCTTCCTGTGACTGTGACTGACTGACTGACTTGTGTCCATTGAGCTGGAGGGTGAAGGGAGCTGTGCTTCTAAGAATCCCCTTTCCATGACAATGACACTCCTCCTCCAATGCATTATGTGTATATTGTGTTCTTGTGTATATGGGTAAAAGATGTACATTATAAGTCTTCTGTTTGTAGCAGATATGATTTTATATTTATAATGTGCGTTTCAAGCGTGTAAAGGCTGCTTAGGTTACAAAGAACAGTGGACCTCCTGCCTCCCCTGCTTGTTGGGGTTCTGGAGCTGTCAGCACACCTGCACTAGCACATTTTTCAGATCCGAGTGTTTCGTTTGTATCAGGAATACTTGACTCCAAAGCAAAGTCGGCATTGTATGACCTCCAGCGCCAAGGAGGTGGTGGGTTTAAGAAGCTTGCTGCTGGAACAGGCATTTTGGACTCGCTGTGAAGGGACCTGAAGAGTACCTCCCTCCTCATCCACACTGGAGCATGCCCTTTGAAAAACACTGAAGCACTCTGTCCTCTTCAAGCATTGCAGTGGTGGCTTGGACCATTAATGTTCATTGCTGTAGCAGTCTCTTTAGAAGAGGAATGAGTCCTGGTCTACATCTCTTGGCTCCTCTCCTTAATTGAACCCCCCCCCCAGTCCCTCTCTTCAGGCGATGGGGAGCATGGATTGACTTGGTTCAAGACTCTTAACTGTCTTGGGGAAAGAGGAGGTGGTGGCTTCCATCGCCTGTTATAGCCCCTCTTCCCTTTTCCCCACAGTTGTCTCAATGTGAATTTTAACAAACAAAGGAGAATGTTTTGAATTTAATATTTTACTGTAGCTTGCAGGTGTAGTCTGATTAGTGCCAAGCCTTGACCTCACAGGGCAGAGTGGCTCCCATGCAGCCTAATTCCTCAGCTTGCACTGGGCTGGCCTCTGCTCATCTCATCAGGCTTCAGACTGCACCCAACTTGGGGTTTTTTCCCCCTTCTCATGGGGCCACAAAAGAAAAGCAGTTGAGTGTCTTTCCCTTCAGTGATGGCACCAGGGGAGACTGGATGCACCAGAAGGTGGGAGCCTTGTCGCCAATCAAAGACCAAGCAGTGTCTCGATTTGCTTTCCTAACCTGGAGTTGTTTTCTCAGGCATTCTGACTTGATTTCTTTTGTGTGTGTGCCTTTTGTTGTTTCCTCTGAGACAGCGACCTGGTGGTCATTAGTTTAACATGACTAATTAAACAAGAAAACCGATCTGTGTGGCTTATTTTTTATTATTGGTCAGTTCCTTGGGTTTTTAAGGATCAAAGTTCTTGAGAACCTTCTTCTTTTTCCTGAATTAAAGTGTAACAGACTCCAGTCCTAGGTAGCTTGAATTTCACAGCACTTGCTTTTTCAGAAGTGCCAGTTCAGTTTCAAGCAGGAATCCTCTGACTTATGCTATTGTCAGAAATACCATCCTTCAGAAGAATCACTTCTCCACTAGCAGAAGATGTCATGAAGAAGAGGTTAGCCTTCCCACTTGCTCTAGGCAAGCAGGGCTTGGTGAATGAACAGATTTCCCTTGCTGTGGAAGGATGCTCCTCTCAGTTCCTGCTCTGCCTGCTCCAGCTGTATTTCTTTGTTGACTCTTATCTTTTAAGGTTTATCTCAAAAGTTTTCCTTTTATTTGCTTATTAACATTCAGCTTCCATGAGTATTGTGCCTATTTTTTATTTTAAAAATGCTTTCATTCTTTCCCCTGAGTGAGTGAGAGATAGCAGAGGTGCAAAGCTTACCACTGCATCAACAGCTTCAGTAAAGCCCACTTCCATCTGTGTTCCATAAGACAACAATGTGCCAGAGGACCAACAAGGCTTGACAGCATGTTCTTCTGTGTTAGGTCCTCCTCCTACGGTGAGATAGTCCTACCTGGGATGCATTCACTACTTTTGAACATTCTATTTTGCAGGACATTTTCTCTCACTGATGGAGAAAGGAACAGTGGACCTACTGTGACTGATCCCTCTCATTGGTGGTTGGAAATCTGAGGGGAGGGGCCGTGGCTCAGTGGTAGAGCATCTGCTTGGCATTCAGAAGGTCCCAGGTTCAATCTCCAGCATCTCTAGTTAAAAGGACCAGGCAGTTGGTGATGTGAAAGACGTCTGCCAGAGACCCTGTGTAGTGTTTCTGTCAGTCTACTCTGATACTAACCTTGATGGACCAGTGGTCTGATTCAGTATAAAGCAGCTTCATATGTGTTCGAATTGGCCCAACCCACCCAAACTGTCTCACTGTACAAGAGAACTTGGGCTGTGATTTGTCTAGTGCCTAGTCAGGTATGCACACGTGACCCAGGCACAAACATTCTCTCTTTCTCACCCTATGTGTGTGCATGGTGGCTGTTTGGCTGTTCTAAACAATTCTTCATATATTGGTGAAACTTTCCAGAAGGTTTTTTGATGGACCAAATCCAGATACTGGGTGGGACTTTCTCCCACATCAAGGTATAACTAGCAAATTACTTTGCATAGGACTGTCTAAGTGGGAAGGTTAACTCTTTCTCCAGGACTCCTTTCAACCTCAAATGAGAAGGACCATTCACAGAAGGTCAAGTTCTTTATGGACTGAAATCTGTGATCAAAATATGCTAAAAGTGGGGCCTAAATAGGGGTTCCAGTAGCTTCATGGAAGCCAAAGCTCTCTAGTCTGGTGACTAGGGAATAAGGAAAAAGTAGAAATGCAGCCTCTCCGGTATCTTGTCAGAATGATCTGAAAAAGAAGATGGTTCCTTTAGGGAACCTAGTGTATAGCTTTTCATAGGTCAGCATGGACAATGGCAACAAGATGAGAGTTTGAGTAACAGTTTCTAGTTTGCCCGGGGCTTTCAAAGAGTACCTACCTGCTTAGTCTTGTCAAACCATCCTGGACCCAAGCCTAATTATTTCAGTAATGTGTCATAGCAAAAGACCAAGTGGCTCCTCAGGCAAGCATGAGAAATGAATATAGCACATAAATATTTTGGCATTGGCCGTTCTGCAGCCAGTGCAGCTTGAAATGCTTCGTTTGACGGTGTCTTTCATGGCTGAGTCAGGCTGCTGCTTTAGCTACTCTCATTCATGGCTGGATCTGACCAACCACAACATGTTCAACAAGTTGCTGCTTCCAGGCAAAGCCTTCAAGTATAGCCCCTTTTAAAAATAAGATCCATGTTGGATGTCCCACTTTCATCCACAAGGTAGGATTCAGGGGAAAATACAGAGGAGCTCACAGCTAAAATTGGACAGCCTTCCATTTTTCATGCAGACTGGGCTGAGCACAGCAGGTCACTCAAACTTCTTCTCCCCACCCTAAGTTAATTACTATTAAAATAAAAAGTTCAGTGGAGTGGAACAAACATAATTACTTTTGGGGAGCCTAATTATCTGCATTTATTGCCAGTGCTTTGTTGTAATTGATTGCTAATGGTCTGCTTCGCTCCGGAATTATCTAATTAATACCCCCACAGAAGAAATCAGACTCCACTCTGAAATGGTGGTGTTTCTGCAATCCTGATTGCAATTGTCTGCATTCTGGGGGCTCTGTTGGGCTTTCTTTGTTTGTACGTGAATGAATCCTTGGAGTGTTTTGAGTTCCAAAGGCTGGCTACCTTGCCAGGCTCATGTTCATCATGCTCTACTTGCTCAGACAAACTAGAGCACTCTTAACTGCTGAGGGCAACTCCTGAAGATGCTTTTGCCCACACTGGGGCATTTTCAGCCCATTTCACCCAATATCTTCCCTCAGTCCATCTGCCTTCATCTGTGTTCCCACTACCTGCCTTACTTGGCTATGACGCATTTCCTTTAGTCCAACGTCATGTTGTTCCACAGTACAATCAGTCTTCCAAAGCAGACAGAAGATTGGGGGGGGGCAGACATGTGCTTTGACACCATCCCGCTCAGTTTTTGAAGCCCCCCTCTTAGTTTTGGCTTTGACAGCTTCTCAGAATGGTAAGACAGGATTTATCCACTGCAGAGTTATCTATGCAGAGCCGTATTTCTCTCTATCCTGTTCCCATATGGTGTATGTAAAATTAGACATTTCCCTAAAGATCACCTTTTAGGTGAGCAAGAGTCCTTGTGTCATAGTTTTGTGAGCCAACTGGAAGACTGATCCATGTTAGCTAATTGGTGTATGGGGAGTACAAGTTGAATGGATCTATGCAGGAGGAGTCATGTGATTACTGTAGCATACCTGTGTATGTGGATCTAGCTCATGAGTCATACACAAGCTGGCAATCTCACAACAGAAAGAAGTATTAAGTGAAATAACAGCTGCCTTCAGCTTATTAGATTTTAGCATTTCTCCTAAAGAAAACAAGTGAAGTTCAAAACACACAGTTACAGCTTTGTTTCATAATACAACTCAGAGAGGGGCCATAGCTCAACAGGAAAGTATCCATTCTGTACACAGAAGGTCCCAGATTCAATGCCTGGCATCTCCTAAAAATATCAGGTTGTGTGCAAGACCTCTGCCTAGAGTCCTTGGAGACCTTCTGGCCAGAATGCCAGCAGGGGGTTGGGGGCTATCCAGTGTTTTGCACGGAGTGTCACATGTATGACTATCTGCCCACTGGGCAAAAGTCTTGGGTGTGTCCTCAGTGCAAGGAGCTCCTGGTTCTCAGGGAACGTGTGTGCTCCCTTGAGGCCAAGGTGGCTGACCTGGAGAAGCAGAGACAGTCAGCTAGGCACACAGAAAAGACTCTCGGGGACTTGTTAGCTACGTCCCACTCTGGATCTGGCAGCCCCGCTGCTGTCAGGGAGCATGAGGGTCTAGGGGAAACAGGGCACCGTGCTGAGGATAAGGGGAATGTGCCCTCAGAAGGGACCTCTTCCCCAGCTGGTGAGCGGCTCTCCTTTTGCACCAAGGAACCATCCCTGAGCAGGGTGGGAGGGAGGCTCTTGGTAGTGGGTGATTCGATCCTTAGGCAGGTAGACAGCTGGGTGGCGAACCCGCGTACTGACCGTATGGTGACTTGCCTGCCTGGTGCGAAGGTAGCGGACATTACGCGTGTTTTAGATAGGCTGGTAGATAGTGCTGGGGAGGAGCCAGTGGTCGTGGTGCATGTCGGCACCAACGATGTGGGGAAATGCAGTCGTGAGGTCCTGGAGGAGAAATTTAGGATGCTGGGCAGGAAACTTAGGTCCAGGACCTCCAAGGTAGCCTTCTCAGAAGTGTTACCTGTTCCACACGCAGGGCCAGAGAGACAGGCAGAGATCAGGAGTCTCAATGCGTGGATGAGACGATGGTGTAGGGGGGAAGGGTTCAGGTTTGTTAGGCACTGGGATACTTTTTGGAACAAGAGGGAGCTGTACAGGCGAGACGGTCTCCACTTGTCCCGAGAAGGAACCAGGCTGCTGGCACTTAAAATCAAAAAGGTGGCAGAGCAGCTTTTAAACTGAATATTGGGGGAAAGCCGACAGGAGATGAAAAGTCTCTGGTTCGGGTTGGCTCATCTGAGAGAGGTGAGGGGGTACCGGTTGCTTTTCTACAGGGAGGTGGATTGAAATTGTCCACAGAGGCCATGGCTGGTGACATGGACTGCCGGACAACGACTCGAGATAGCAAGAGGAAGGATGCAGGCTTAACTTGTAAGGGAAATTACAGCTGTTTCTATACAAATGCTAGAAGTGTCCGAGGTA